AGTCATCAGGAGCATGTCGTCGTCACTTGGGCAACCGGTTGATCTGGACGGGGGTTCGCATCCGCTGTAACAGCTCGAGTTCATATAATTCTTTCACTAACGACATCCTTGCCACTCAGTTACATGATCTAGCGGGGTATGGAAAAATCAAAATATTCTAGAAGTCATCAGGAGCATGTCGTCGTCACTTGGGCAACCGGTTGATCTGGAGGGGGTTCGCATCCGCTGTAACAGCTCGAGTTCATATAATTCTTTCACTAACGACATCCTTGTCACACAGTTAGTTGATCTAGCGGGGTATGGAAAAATCAAAATATTCTAGAAGTCATCAGGAGCATGTCGTCGTCACTTGGGCAACCGGTTGATCTGGAGGGGGTTCGCATCCGCTGTAACAGCTCGAGTTCATATAATTCTTTCACTAACGACATCCTTGTCACACAGTTAGTTGATCTAGCGGGGTATGGAAAAATCAAAATATTCTAGAAGTCATCAGGAGCATGTCGTCGTCACTTGGGCAACCGGTTGATCTGGAGGGGGTTCGCATCCGCTGTAACAGCTCGAGTTCATATAATTCTTTCACTAACGACATCCTTGTCACACAGTTAGTTGATCTAGCGGGGTATGGAAAAATCAAAATATTCTAGAAGTCATCAGGAGCATGTCGTCGTCACTTGGGCAACCGGTTGATCTGGAGGGGGTTCGCATCCGCTGTAACAGCTCGAGTTCATATAATTCTTTCACTAACGACATCCTTGCCAGTCAGTTACATGATCTAGCGGGGTATGGAAAAATCAAAATATTCTAGAAGTCATCAGGAGCATGTCGTCGTCACTTGGGCAACCGGTTGATCTGGAGGGGGTTCGCATCCGCTGTAACAGCTCGAGTTCATATAATTCTTTCACTAACGACATCCTTGCCAGTCAGTTACATGATCTAGCGGGGTATGGAAAAATCAAAATATTCTAGAAGTCATCAGGAGCATGTCGTCGTCACTTGGGCAACCGGTTGATCTGGAGGGGGTTCGCATCCGCTGTAACAGCTCGAGTTCATATAATTCTTTCACTAACGACATCCTTGCCAGTCAGTTACATGATCTAGCGGGGTATGGAAAAATCAAAATATTCTAGAAGTCATCAGGAGCATGTCGTCGTCACTTGGGCAACCGGTTGATCTGGAGGGGGTTCGCATCCGCTGTAACAGCTCGAGTTCATATAATTCTTTCACTAACGACATCCTTGTCACACAGTTAGTTGATCTAGCGGGGTATGGAAAAATCAAAATATTCTAGAAGTCATCAGGAGCATGTCGTCGTCACTTGGGCAACCGGTTGATCTGGAGGGGGTTCGCATCCGCTGTAACAGCTCGAGTTCATATAATTCTTTCACTAACGACATCCTTGCCAGTCAGTTACATGATCTAGCGGGGTATGGAAAAATCAAAATATTCTAGAAGTCATCAGGAGCATGTCGTCGTCACTTGGGCAACCGGTTGATCTGGACGGGGGTTCGCATCCGCTGTAACAGCTCGAGTTCATATAATTCTTTCACTAACGACATCCTTGCCAGTCAGTTACATGATCTAGCGGGGTATGGAAAAATCAAAATATTCTAGAAGTCATCAGGAGCATGTCGTCGTCACTTGGGCAACCGGTTGATCTGGACGGGGGTTCGCATCCGCTGTAACAGCTCGAGTTCATATAATTCTTTCACTAACGACATCCTTGCCAGTCAGTTACATGATCTAGCGGGGTATGGAAAAATCAAAATATTCTAGAAGTCATCAGGAGCATGTCGTCGTCACTTGGGCAACCGGTTGATCTGGAGGGGGTTCGCATCCGCTGTAACAGCTCGAGTTCATATAATTCTTTCACTAAGGACATCCTTGCCAGTCAGTTACATGATCTAGCGGGGTATGGAAAAATCAAAATATTCTAGAAGTCATCAGGAGCATGTCGTCGTCACTTGGGCAACCGGTTGATCTGGAGGGGGTTCGCATCCGCTGTAACAGCTCGAGTTCATATAATTCTTTCACTAACGACATCCTTGCCAGTCAGTTACATGATCTAGCGGGGTATGGAATCATCAAATTGCGTTGCCGTCATCTGAAGGACACCGTCGTCTTTTCCTCGCTTCGCGGGACTCGCATCCGTTCTAATAAATTCAGTTTATATAATTCGTTCATTTAACGCTTTAATATCAGAAAGTTAGTTGATCTAGAGGTGTATGAAATCATTTCGGTTTTATCTACGGTATTTAAAAAGCTTTGGCGAGTACCGAAAGTTACAATGTCCGGGTTACAATGAAGTTGTAATGAAGCTGAGAAGCCGGTTGCCGGAAAGACTTCAAACCAGACATGGCAACGGGCCCGGCCCCCGGGCTTTTTCGGCCCCAAAAATTTGCATGCGGCCGGGCCGACGGGGCTCGGCCCCACTTCCTGGCGGGGCCGGGGCTCGGCTTTGCTCGACCGCCCCGGGATAAGCCAAAATGGGGGCCGAGCACGTGGCCGCAAGGCCGCACTCTAATCAGAGATCCCGGTTGTATAGCACTTTCAGTCAAAATATTCATGCAAATTGGAAAAAATGATTTTTCAAAGGTTGCCATACATCTCCATATCTATTGCGGCCAGATCATAACGGGTTCAGACCTGTATTTTAGTACTTTTTGATAGTTGGGACGAATTATTAAACAAGTTCAATGAATTTTACCGATACCGATGTCCTAACTGCACGAACGCACATAAAATTTTCATTGGAAATTTGCATATTAACATCCGAATATAGACGCAAATGAGCTATTTTCTTTTCCGGGGCCGAGCCGAATCGGCCGAGCCCGGCCCCGGAAAAATTCGGCCGGGCCCGGGCTCGGCCCCGCGAATTTGCATATTTTTCCGGGGCCCGGAAGTGTGTGTTTTTTTCATGTTAATTAGATTCCAGGCCCGGCCCCGGGGCTCGGCCGCCCGGAATTGCCATGTCTGCTTCAAACCAAGACAAAAATCCTTATGCACTGATTGACACTTTCTGAATTTCATGTTTTTTATGCAAATTAACCTGTATGATACATTCCAATAAATATCTGGATTTTCACTCTCCGAGGTTTTGGGCTTTTTGATTTTCCGACGCATGCAGGTGTGCAGAAGGCAAATCGGGGGCAAGAATGATACCTCTGGGCACCCCGTAAGGTCAGAAGAAAAAAATCACGATGATGAACATCTGCGGGTTCCCGCGCATTTGATGTATATATCAGGAGGTCACCCTGATCTATCCTGATTCCTTTTTTTTGGATAAGAAATCTGATACTTGTTCGGTTCACTAATTTTCTAGTTTTGGCTCAAGCTTCTTCGCTTTCAAATTCTATAGATACGACACATATTCGTTTTAGAAATGAAACTCCAGGAAACTGATGGTTCCAAGAAGTCATCGGATTCTAAGCCCCTCCCCCGTCGCCCCGAAGTACGAGAGGTCAGCAAACACAGCGCTGTTAGAGTTATCAGAATTTACATTTACAGGGTGTCCCAATAAAAAAGGTCACGCTAGCATTTCGCCATTTCAAATCTGATCGACCTGAAACTTGGAACAGAGCTGCGGAGGGGACTTTAAAATGGTGCTCTTTCAGCACGATCGGTACAGTAGTTTTCGAGTTATAGCAAAAATACGGTTTTCCAACACTTTTGCTTCATTTTTTCGGCTATCTTTTCGGACATTGCATCAATTAACATCAAATTTTGGCCCTAAATCCCTCATTCTTCTTAACATCGGGGATGATAACACCTTGTTAAAATTACTGAAAGCCTACTTCCGACACGTATTTTACGAAATTAAGAATCTTCTGGGGGTAAAAAGGATCGGCTTCATTTTTCTCGTACATTCCTTCCAAGGCTCAATTCCGGCGAAATCCAGGTTAAAAACGTAAAATAAAGTTTATTTTGGCTATAACTCGAAAACTACTCTTCCGATCGGGCTGAAAGTTTCTGTGAATATTTTAAATACCATGCCGCAACTGTATTCAAAATTTCAAGTCGTTCGTATTTAAAATGACAAAATGCCATCGTGACCTTTTTTATGGGGCGCCCTGTATACCGTACTCGAATTTACAACCGCCGTTTCCAGGGATTAGAGCTTCTCGTTGGCATTTCATGGCCCCTGATCATAACGGTTGTCTTCTATTCTGCCCTGATATTCCGGGCGGTGGTGCTGCAGGACGGCCCATCGATTGAGTGGATTTTTACGGTAAGCAGATTTTTCTGTGATCAATGAACTTAATTTTTACAAATGCAGTATTTTCCGCTTTTTCAGAGCTTTTTGAGACTGTCCGCGATTTTGATTCCGGCCCTCATCGGAATCGTGGCCGGGCACACTGACAAACCAATCATCGGGACGTTTTCCCTCGGTGTAATGGTAAGATAACCCAGTACGACTCTTTATTACTCCTCCAGATGACGCTTCCCTCGCAGTGGCAATGGGCAAGTGAATACTACCCCAAGTAAGTTATCTGCGAACCAGGCTCGAAAAACCGCTTCGCGGTTTTGCACACCCAAGGGGGCGAGAGGCGCAGGAATTTGGAATTCCCCGTTGTCACCGGCAGAACTCATTCTCGGTTGTTTCTGGACCAAATTCGATGGTTAAAAGACCAAAACTATTTAAAATCGGATGAGTATTTCAGAAATGGGCTCATGATTTGCGAATTATAGTGTTTTCACAAAGAAAGCGACCAAAAATGGTTTTGCGCAAAAATCGAAAGAGCGAGGGCCCTGGTCCCGCAGCGGCCCCTGGCAATTCCAGAAATATAAGACCTCGCCCAAAAGGACGTATTTCCTTTAATATAACCCCGGGAGTTATATTTTCTTCAATCACCCCAGCGGAGTTGTATTAGATGGGGGGAGGCTATAATAGGGGGGGGCAAAAACACGATTTTTTTGCTATAGAAAGCTAAAAACCACTCAAAATCGCAGTGTCAAGCATAAACTTTAACTTTTTATGCGCTTTCAACACATTTAGCATCGGAATGCGGGCAGCTATTAAATATCTACCACCTCTTCTACGGGCTGATGAATCTGGTCCGGTCGTTGTGGCTTATCATGAGATTGCGATCTTCTGCCTCATGGTCATCATTATGGCTGTCAATTCGGCTGGTATCAAGGCTTTCGTTTACCTACGGTATGTCTATGTGTCATCCAGTCTAACGTACGGGTTACCATAAAAAAGCTGACAATGCCTGTATTTAAACATATAATTTAGAAAGCAGTATAGCAAGCAGGAAACGTGCGCCACTGATGGGGATCGGAATGCTATCGCCGTCAAACCTTGAAGATCATCCAAAACGTTTAGAAATATATTACGAGCTTCCTTTTTCTTTTTTCCCTAAAATTTTTCCCTTTTCTCCCGTACCCACCCGATATGTTAGGCAACTTTTTAATAAATAAATTTTACTTTTACGACGACGGGGGCAGACCACCCACCCAATACAAACAAATCCGGTGGGCTTGGCGGGACCCGCATCCACTCTAATATATCCAATTGATACAATTCTTTCACTAATTTCATCCTTGTCAGACAGTTAGTCGATCTAGCTGTGTATGAAATCATCAAATTGCTTTGCACGTCATCTGAAGTACACCGTCTTTTTGGAAGCGTTGTGTGCAGTCTGCTACTGCTACTCTGACCATTTTGGCTCTGCTTTAATCAGCCTGTTTTGGCACCACCTGCCTGCCAATTTTGGGCAGCTGCAAGCCCGCGTCGCCGGGAATGCTGAGTAAACGAGCATTCCAATGTTCTACCCATCTGAGCAGGAGCAATTATGGATTCTTGTGGCGGGCTACGGTATCTGGCTGATTGGAATGGTCGTCTTCGTCCTCACCGTTTATTTCATTGCCAGCGGCAGGGCACCGCTCTCGCGAGAATATAGACTTGTGCAACTGAATTTGGTGGTGAGTCTAGCCAATTTTAATATTTATACGTTCTCTGTTGTGCAAAAACAAGAAACGAACGAGCCGGGTAACCCGGCAGGGTGGACCAGAATGACAGGGTGACCCAAAAAAGACACCCGCTCTAACTCGACGCAGAAGTATCAGATCGGAATGATAGTTACACCCAGGCCCGTAGCGCAGGCGGAGTTTCGGGGGAGGCAAAAATTTTGCTACCCCTTCCCCCCTCGGTCGTCACTTTTCAAACACCCCAAAATCGCGGCTAACGCAGACACCGGTCGTCACCTTTTCTAGACAATTGATGCACTAATGAAAAACCACCGCCGCAAGTGAAAAATTTTGGAAAAATAAGCTTTCTCGACGTAAAAACTGCCTTAAAAACAGTAAGAAACAGCGCCGCAGGCAGAAAATTTTTTATAAAAAAATCATAAGTGTCCCCCCTCATGAACTTTTCGGACCTCGACCGATTTCGGGGGGGGCTGGGCCCTCCTCCTACGGGCCTGGTTACACCATTCGAAAGCCCTTGAAACGGCGTGTTTGCAACAAACTTCACAGCAATGTTTTTTGTATTTAGATACGCCACAAGCCATTTTGTATTATTGTGCAATCCTTCGGGGCAACCATCAATTTCCGTTTCCGCAAGCAAAATGACCGGAAGTAGCCGCTAATTAGATGCAGAGACCTTTCCTGAAGGGTATTAAATACGTTGTAAAATGGCGCATTTAAATAAAAACACGGTTTTGAAAATTGTCGCACACTGGCCGTTTCAAGGGCATTCGAACCGTGTAACTATCGTTACGATCAGATACTGATGAGTCGAGTTAGAGGGTCTTTTTATTCTTGTTGAACAGATTGCCGCCGAGCTAGCCGGGACCACAATGACCACCCTGCAGCCGATCATCTGGGCCCCGTACACCGCTGTCAAACTTCTCGGCACATTTCATTTCACCTATTTTCAGCTGCACGTTGTCTTGGTATAGAAATACCCTGATTTCTCCGCCAGCCCCCTATTTAGAGCCTGTACGGAACGTTATTGGTGCATTCGCTATGTGCAATGTTTTACAGCGGAGTTGTGAGGACCGTGCAGGCCTCACAGAAACACCAGCGTTTTCAAACGCACGCCAGGCTTTATCTGCTGACACTTTACGGCTGCACGATGGGGGGCGGTCATTTCGTGGTATGGTACGGATATAATCAACACTATTTGATTAATGATGCCACGAAGGTTGGTTTTTTTAGTGTAGCTGCCGGCCAACTGGATGTCCCAAAAATAGAGGTTTCTCTCTTCGGTTTTGGGGGGTAGTGACTTTCCGGGATAGTGACCGGACGCCTGCATATATCAATCGAAAAATAGCGAAACTGCGACGAACGATAAAACGGCGAATATTTTAAGATACTTAGCGCGTTGATTAGGACGGATGGCTGAAAAATGCGGGCTGGGTGGTTTCCTAGACTCTTACCAAAGTAATTGCAGATCTGTCGTCTGGAGCAAGTCCTTTGCGGGGTTGATGGCATATATTTTCTGCAGCACGTCCACGAACACAATGTGATCATAAACACCGTGATCACCGTGTTCCTTGTGACATGTGCCCTGTATCTATTCGTATGCTTTTTGAACATCAAGGACTACTTTGACGTGAACACGAATCGACTACTCAGCAAGCGTACCCGTCTTATGCACCGCTATTGCTGTTTGATCTTTCTACTGCAGGTACGCATTCCCTGGTTCTGGACTGTTAGCGGGGGGGGGAGCCGAATTTTTTCCTTTTATTCTCTCCGGCCCTAAAACAAAATATAAACCATTTTATAGCAATGTCTGCCAAAAAAAGTATGAAAATGGACCGAAAAGTTCCAATTTTCCGAATTTTCAAAATTTTCAAAATATCCTATCCTATAAGCGAGAAAAGTATGTCTGTTTTCTGTGCAGCCGATTTCTCGGCCGTCAGGCCGAATTTTGCGCTGATTTTTGGCATGGAAGTGGAGAAACACATCCTCTTTATAGGCATTTTTTTGTTTTTCGAAATTCCCTCATTTAAGGATTTTACAAGCAGAATAGTGGAAAACCCTTAACATTTTGACCAAAAAAAGGTTTGTTCAGAGGATATCTCGCGATCCAAAAGGAATTCAGCGTTAATCTTTGGAGGTTAGATTGAAAATCGAATTCTCCCGATATATAAATTTGCGTTTTTTCAGAGTTCGTAAAATAAAATTTTTATGTGCGTTTTTCTAAAAGTCCTTAACAAAAGTGGGGCTGCGGCCGTGGTGGTCAGTCCATAACTCGATGCCCATTTGGAATGTCGGGCTGGAATTTGGACAAATTATGTATTCGATAGTGGGGATCACACGCATCTTATTATCGTTAGAAATTTTCAGCAGATTCAGACTCAAAGATCGAGTTTTGTAAAGTGACCAGGAGGCCACCCGCCCGGGATCATTGGAACGCCATTTTCTTTGCCACCCTTCCCCCCAGTCTTCCCCAGAAAGAAGAGGCCTTTCAGGCCACCCGTTCCCATCGCCCCTGTGGTGTAGTGGGTAGGCGCCCGGTTTACTAAACGTATGGTCAGGAGTTCGGGTCCTGGGAGAATCCAGCTTTTTGCTTTTTGGTAGTTTAGCAACAAAACGTATTTCTAGGCTCTCGATGTGCGAGGTTTAGGCCTGACCGTCGCTCTAGCGCCGCAGGCCGAAGAAAAGAACTTGAACCAGGCTCTTGCGCCGCAGGCCAACGATGGGTCCTTGGCCCAGGCTCGCGCCGCAGGCAACGTGGGTCCTTGGCCCAGGCTCTCGCGCCGCAGGCAACGATGGGTCCTTGGCCCAGGCTCTCGCGCCGCAGGCCATCGATGGGTCCTTGGCCCAGGCTCTCGCGCCGCAGGCCAACGATGGGTCCTTGGCTCAGGCTCTCGCGCCGCAGGCCAACGATGGGTCCTTGGCCCAGGCTCTCGCGCCGCAGGCCAAGCTTGGGGGAAAAACCAGTAACTAGCGCCTCAGACCCAATTATCCTAGCGCAACGCTGTCTCTGACGCCGCAGTCCAAAGAATGGATCCTTGACTCAGGTACCTGCGCCGCAGATGCAAAAAAAGAAGGTATTCAAATTCATGGTTTCTGGACGGGGTCCAGTGGAAAAGGGCCGCGAAGCGGTCTTTTTCCACTGGTTTGTGATAATTTAAAACAATCAAAGTTCTTTTCCCCCCTGCTTAATCTTCCGCCCCCGTTAACAGTCCAGTACCCATTCACTGAAATTGCCGTGTACGCGCTGTGCTTTCAGTCGTTGGTGCTCTATCTATTCTTGGTGACTCCAATTATGGTCGTGTTTTTCGTCTGCCTAGAATATATACGCTGGGATAAGATATTTGTCGGTAGGCATCTATGGTAATCTAGTCTGAGTCTGGTTTGAAGCTGTCGGAGTGACGTTCGTCTGGCCTGGTATCCATAGTTTCGCCAACAATCTGGTCATCTTGCTGGCCACGGCCACGTACAGGAATGCGATTATAGAGTGCTTACGCAGTTTGTATATGGTACGTCGAATTTGCTATCATAATGCCAGTATTCAAAATGTCGAATTTTCATAAGGTCGAAATTTGAGAATGTCGACATTTCCGGATGCCGAATCAGGATCGTAATTTAAAAATTTTTACGCCTTTTCTGAAATGAACGACAGCTTTTTTTGAAAGCCGTTTGCGAGAACACGGCTGGATAGCGCTTTAACAGGTTAAATTGGGTTTTTGACAAAAAGGATGTCCTTTTCGCAATAAAAATGACGAAAATCGACGGGAGAGGGGGGTGATTTGTTGGGTCCTTGTGGATCGTCCGTAAGAAACTACTGGGTGTCCCAAAGTAAAAAGCACCCCCCTCTAGCGGACCGGGGGGGGAATCAGAATAGGATGATTTTTATACCATTCGAATGCCCGCGAAAAGGCGAGAAAACACGTGGCTGTTTTTCTAAGATTTAGTCTTATTCGTCCAATATTCAACGTTTTTCTAAAAAAAACAGGTGGTTTGGCAATAGGAATTTCGCAATTAGCATGCAGATCTCGCGTAAATCTGCCGTTTTCATGGTTTTTGGAGGTAAAATTCCCGAATACATAATAAAGAAAAGGAACCCTCATTGTTTTTTTGCCTTTTCGAGAGCTTTCGATAGATACCTAAACGGCGTGAATCGGACACGACTGCGCGCCGCTAGAAGGGGGCTTTTTTGGTACACCCTGTACACCAATTCTTTAGAAGCTGAACCCATGGGCTACTGCTTCAACCGTATCCGTTACATCGGAAAAATGGCGGGCGTCTCTGCGGGCTATTAACAAGTGGCCCACACCACTGGACCTTGCCCACGTCGGAGATTTTGTGGACGGACAACAGGACGCAAAATGACCTTGTGCATGTGAAA